CTGCTGCTCACATGTTGAAATCTGTTAGTGTCGTCGTGACTATGGCATACCGGCGTGCCAGCGTGCCGCGCAGTAGTAGCTGAGACATTATTACTCACCACAGCCTCGCTTTTCATAACAATGACGAATGTTGTTTCAGTAGAGATCGCGATAACAGTCATGTATGGCTGCTGTATTAGCATGTCGAATTGTATGCATGCACGTCCATCGTTGCCTGAGGCCGTCGCACACTCCGTAGGCGGAGAAGGCTGCATTGTGATTGGACACTCGGCGACGGAGATCTTTCCCCCACCATCCAAGGAGCTGAGGCGGTGCCTGTAGGCAACCATCGAATGCACCCTGGTTAGACAGAACACGAGTCTTGCGCCATGGCGACGGGCCCCAAGGCAGTCGTCTTGCAGGCACCCCTCATGCATCCCCTCACATAGCTAATAATCGCCCTTCCCCCCTCATCGCGCGTCGCAGCAGCCTTTGCGACGACTTGCCAGCCCGCTTGTGACCATGGAAACGATTAGCAGACTGCCGCGGCGCTTGACACAGCTCTACTCAGACACCAAAACCACCTGCGATGCTGTGGTGGAGCAGGATGCCAAAGACACGCCAGAATCGCACGCGCTGCATCGGAAATTCAGGATCCAGAAGGACAGGCTCATAACATGGGGCGTCGACTGGAGCGACAACGCCAAAGGAAAGCAGGGCGACATTGACGACAGCGTCGAGGAGGCTGGCATGACAGAGACGGTCACGAGTGTGCTTGGGACGATCAAGGAGATTCTCGATGAGGCAGAAAGAATGCACCCGGGCGCACCTGCTGCTGGTGTGGGAAAGACATTATCTGGAGAGAAGAGTCGGCCTGACCCGCCCTCGTGGGCGCCCGCTGACAAGTCACGTTACGAGGACTTGATCAAGGACCTCACCACTTCCATTGACATACTGTACGACCTGTCCCGCAACCGAAGAAACCAGAGAGCCCAAGAGCGAGGAAGCAGCCCAGGAAAGGCTGCACCACGATCTCGTCAACACGGCACTGCAACACCAGTGTTCCTGTCGCCAGACTACAACGCATCCGACCTGACACTCGTAAATCCGGCCACCTTTTCGTCGAATGCTCAGATTTCCCGGTCCAACCTTCCACCAAAACTAGACTACACTGATCTCATCCTCCCCGACGAGGAACCGCCACCATACGAAAGTGTTGGTACTACATCTGTTCGTGTCATTGGCCGCTTACGATCTAGAAACAACCCGCATGCTTGGAAAACAGACAGTGGCAGAGATAAAGAGACCTATGTTCTAGTAGATTACGCAAGCTACGATCCTACCTATCGCCTTACTGGAGTTTCGCCATCGACGGAGCGTCTCGAGGCTCTTTTGGGTATACTAACAAAGTTGTCTAATAGCCAGTTTTTCCACGGCACACTCAAGTGTCTCGGATACATTGAAGATCCAAACCAGCCACGCTTTGGTTTAGTATTTGAATTGCCGAGTTCCGTCTATTCTGGACCTCTCGATTCACACAAATCTAAAGACGACTTGACGCCAGTTACCTTGCTGAGCGTGCTTCAGACGGGTTCGAAATCCTTGCACAACTCCAACAGCGCAACGCCACCGCTCGAAGACCGCTTTCGTCTGGCCTTTACTCTCGCCTTGACTTTTAGCAAGATCCATGGCGATAACTTTGTTCACAAGGACGTTAACAGTACTAATATTGTACTATTCAAGAAGAACAAGCGTCATTCTGCAAACAACCGAGCACTACAATACTCACTACGGACCCCTGTTATTTGTTCATTCGACATCTTTTCCGACTGTGACGTTGAGGCCGCCAACACGATGCCGACACTAAACATTTATCGTCACCCCGAGGATCCCAAGTGCACTGGCGAAAAGCACCCGTACACGCCGAGTTTCGACTTGTATGGCCTGGGCTTAGTACTGCTTGAAGTGGGTCTGTGGCAACCGCTCTTTGACTTGTGGAAACAAAAGTATACTCTCCGCGATTTCAAGCAAAGAATTGAGGATGTGTACATCAGGAGGCTTGCATCCAAATGCGGAACGGCATACATGCAAGTAGTGCGCGACTGTTTTTGGGCTGCTGATGCAAGGGGTGACGCTGCAGACGTCTACCCAGTCTATTCGCGCATCCTTACTAGGCTACAGCGTTGTTGTATGCTGGACGAGTCCGAGCCTGGATTCGACCTGAAAGACTTGCGACCTGAAGCTGTGCCCATACAACACGCATCTCCACTGAAGCGCAAGAGTGGTAGCCAGACTCAGCTTGCTCCTGAAGCTCAACAGAGTCCATCGTATAGAAGCGCAAAGAGATGGGCCATGGAAAAGGGATCACAGGCGTTGGAGAGAACCAAGTCTTTGTCAAGGAAATCACCTGACCTTTCACTCGCACGTAACCCATCACGAAGCTCACAACATTCCATCCGAAAGAGCATCTCGGAAAGCCTGCGGATGATGAGCCCCAAGCAAGACACACTGGATCTGGAGTGGGAACCAAGAGACCCACTTGAAGAATCGGGCACCCTTGTTGCAACACCACCGAACTCACAAGACCCAAGCGACTCCTCATCACTGTACCGGGAGCGAGTGATTACTGCCGCTTCAACGATACAGCGCGCATGGAGACAGTCCCGCAAGCCTCCAGGTCAGCCCGTATCTCTCAAAGACTACAAAGATAAGATTACAATCATCCAGAATGCTTGGCGACAGTCAAAGCAGAAGCGAACCAACAGCACCATTTCAGCTCTCGTTACTGACGGAATCCGCCACTGGCCACAGGCTACTCTTGGGTATCCAACACCCGAGCCCGAGCCCCAGATTCAAAGTCACACGGTGGATTCAAGCGAGAATTTCGTTACGTCATCGATTCAGATCGAGACGGAAAATGAACCTGTCGCTCGTCCAAAGATGCGCTTGTTTCCTGTCAAATTCACGCCAGAGATTGTGGAGGAATGGCACTCGACCATGCTGCCTCGTCTCGAGCGTCTTATTGAGCGTGCACTCAAAGACTCCGAGGAAACTGTCAGCATTGACCTTGTAGCTGTAGGAGAAGTTGTGGAGAAGGCCAAGCCAACGGTATTTGTCACCTGCAGTAGTGTTGCAAAGATCAGAGCTATTCTGGGTCGCCGCTTTCGATACGACGAGAATGTGTATGATTTGAAAGTCAGAAGAGGCAAGATTAGGCGGTCGAAAATGAGTCGCTCGTCACGTCGTACTCGGTATGTTGTGTGTTCTTGAAACTGTGAGCAGATGACTAATTCTTACAGACCTCCTCATCGCTCCATGATGAACACCGACTCGTATGGCGCTGATATGGCTGTCATGAATCCATGGCATCAGCAGCGCCCACTCTGTGGAGCATCTATTGGCGCCTTCAATGGACAACACCTGCCACCAGTTTCGTATGGTGGAGTCATTCTAGTCGACGACGAGCCATTGGGCATGAGTGTTCACCACCTGCTCGACGCGCCGTCAGACGATGAGAGTGACGGTGGTGAAGACTACGATAGACCATACCCAAACGAAACCACGTTGTCAAGCGCAGCCAACAACCCATGGCTGATGGGTATGGGCACGCAGCCAGGTGTTTACTTGGAGTCAGAGGAGCCTGCCCCTATGTGGGATCTTGAGCTATCTGATGATGAAGATTTTAGGAGCGAAGATGATGAGGTCGATGCCGATTCATTTGACTTTTCCGACAGCGAATTCGAATCCGACGATGAGTCCGCTGAGGGTATGTTGACAACTTTCGCCATACGGCCATCAAACTAACCAAGGATAGACATGGCTGAGTCTGCCATGTCACGTGCAACTACAGGCGATATCGATGGCATTCTGCCCGGCGAGGGCGAAGAGATCCGAATTACCCAGCCAGCCCTTGACGACGTAGACCCAGACTTCTTTCCCAATGAAGAAGACCGCGACGACGACCATCTCTCCTCGCACGAACTAGGCCACGTCCACGCCTCCTCCGGCATCCGCCGCTGGAAGCGCGATGGCATCCTCCACGAAATCGACTGGGCGCTCCTCAAACTCAAAGAAGACCGCCTCCAGCCCTACAACATCTGCCAGGGCGGCCGCCGCTTCTGCTTCGGCAACATGACCCCCGAACAACGCATCATCGCTTCTAAACTCAAACCACCCGTAGACCGCCGCCAGTACACCCCCGAAGAAGACGAATACCCCAACGGCGTCGCCCCCGCCTCTTCCCTCGGCGGCCTCGCCGTTCACTGCTTCGGCCGCACCACCGGCCTCCAAGGCGGCATGATCAGCTCCGTCATGTCGGCCGTGCGCATCTACCACCGCAAATCCTTCTCCCGCTCCTGGCACGTCGCCGGCGACTTTGGCGTCGGCGGCGACAGCGGCGCGTGGGTGGTGCAGAATGGCAAACACAAAGTCGTCGGCCACGTCCTCGCTTTCTGTCATAAAAATCGTATCGCGTATATTTGTCCCATGGAGGTCTTGCTGGAGGATATCAAGCGGACCCTTGGTGCGAAGAGGATTTACCTTCCGGGGTCCATGGAACAGATGTCTTATGCGGCGCGACGGACACGCCAGCAGCAGCAGCAGGTTGATGCTATGTCGGACCTAGGGGATAGAGTACAGGGACTCGGTATCGTGGATTCTGCAGTTGATGTTCGAGAGGCGCTTTCGTCGGGTCCTCCTCCGAGTGTGAACGCAGGCGGTATCTGGACCCATCGATCCCCTTTGCTCACCCGCGCAGCAGCAGCGGCGGCGGCGGCGGCAGCAGTGGCGGCGCAGGATGCAGCGGATAAAGAGGGTAGAAGCGTGATTCGGAGTAGTATTGTGTGTGTGCCGGAGAGTACGAGGGATGGAGGGATTGAAATGAGTGTTTAGTGAACACCCTACCCCCCTTCTTTCCTTTTTTTCTTTCTTCCTTTTCCACTTCATATTGTTGTTAATGTAGCAGCTTTTTTTTGATATCCCAATTGAAATTCCCACTCTTCTTCTTCTTCGCAAACCAAACTTCAATCCCACGTCCTACCCCCTATATCACTCACCACCACGCCTTCCTCCTCCCCTTCACCCAGCCTCTCCCAGAACTCTGCGATCTCGGACACATATCGTGTTTCGTTCAGCGGCTTGTTCCATTCGTTACCAGGTGATCCCGCGACGCGCTGCCACTGCGCCATGCGCTCCGGCCGCTTCCCATCGCGATTCGACGCAAAGTGAATGAGCAGTGAACCCTTGCGTGCGGCGGATGGTGCTGCTACTGGCGCAGAAGTCGTGGTGGTGGTGGTGGTGGTGGTGGTGGTAGAAGGGGGCGGGTAAGCATTGAACCATCGTTGAGGGACGTGAAAGATGTTTTGTGAGAAATGTGGCTGGTATAACCCGTTAGTTTCCCATCCATCTCTCTCTCTCTCTCTCTTCTCCCATGATAATCAAGCGTTTATTGCAAGGGAGAAAAAAAACAAATAATTGAATAAAAATAAAACATGGGGAATGGGGAATGGGAATGGGGAAAAAAAGGAAAAGTGAACGTACCCTTTCCCCTACAATCTCCATGGCACTTTGCTCCGAATACTTGAGCTGGACATTGGCATCCCACTCTTTCAAACTCAAACTCGCGCTTAGGAACCGTACCGCCCATTCGCCTACCCGTAGGAAAAACACTCCGTTGTTGAGTCCGTGTCGGTCGTTTGTAACTATCAAGTTCACGTCGCTGCCCGTCTTGTTGCGTCCGACCTCCTTCTGTTGCGCGGGTAGGAAGATTTCAAGTGGGATGTTTGGGTTCATGAGGATAGTGTCGCGGTCGTGCCAGAAGATCCAGTGGAGTCGGTGGTCGGCGGGTTTGGAGAGTTCGGTGCCGATGAGGGTGAGGAGGAAGGCGTGTTTGGACCAGAGGCCGGGGAGCATGCGTTCGCGGAGGATGAAGTGCGGGTACCCGTGGAGGGCATCGTGGGGGTGGTGCGAGGAGATGGCGGCTTCGTAGGTGGGGTCGTGGGGGCCGAAGGAGGCGGTTGCTTTGCCGATTTTGGATGGGAACTTGGTATCCTGTGGAGAGGGGTTTGAGGCTTGGAATGGGGTTGAAGGGAGGAAGGGCGGGGAGGGCGCCGGGGATGCGGTGGTGTGTGTGAGGTAGAAAATTAGGGATAGACTGAGGGTGAGGAAAGAGAGGTATTTTAGAGTTTGGATGGGACTTCGGGGGCGACAGGTTTGGCGGCATTGCGATTCCGAGTCCGAAGAGAGAGAGAAGTCGCTGTCGAAGGATGATCGCGTGCTGCGGGTCATTGTGGTGGTTGGTGGTTGGGTGTAATGCGACTTTGGCATTTGCGCATACGACGGGCGTATGGCATTGAGGATCCCTACGTCTTCAGTTGGATAGAGAAAGGAAAGGAAATCCTAGACTGAAGTCAGTGAGCGGGACTACATAGCTCAGGACTTGGGAAACGACCGAGACATGAGACGCGTATTGTGTTGGTCTTGTGCCTCAAAAGGTCTGGCGTCAGCCTCCCTGCATGGCCGACGCATACGTAGGTAAGAGGCTCTAGTAAGGCTGTTACATGGCCAATCAGGTTCAGCGGGCTGGGCGCCGGACTAAGCGCACCAAAGTATGACGACCGAGGTTACCGCATTTGTGAGGTTCACTACGTGTTTAGCATCCACCGGCTCTATCGCCATGTACATGTCTAGAAGAAAACGATTTCTATCAGTTTTGGTGAGCTCTCTCATGTTACGTCATCCAAAGTACTATGAGCTGACAGTAGTCTTTTAGGCATTTCAGCCAAGAGCCTGGGCACCACGATGAGACTATACATCGATATACGAGGAGAGTAGATTCTGATCTCGCAATGTCCAGAATCAAGTTGATTAGAACATCGTAGCAGCAAGATACATGTAATGCGAGTAAAGTGAAATGCCTAACACCGAGCGGCATGACTCAGACCATCATCGTATTCGCAAGATTAACTACACCACTAGTTTTGACCTTCAGCCTCCGTACGGTAGTTCTGCGGTATCTTTTTACGAAGCGTGATTCATGGATCTTGCTCATCTCTCCAAGTCCTCCGGTACGATTAGCCATGCTATATGGAGCTAGCATACGGTCGTATTTGACTCTTGTCGGGATTAAGAAGTCCGCACCGACCACTGCTTATCTGAGGCATTCACACGACATCCCGTCACTCAACATAGATACAGGAACCTTTTGGTTCGTTGTCCGTTGAGTCAGTATGGCAGGAGTTCTCTGACGTCTGCCCGACGTCAATGTTTTTGCTCCTGACTATAGTCATTCCTATATTTGTCGGAGGAAAATTTCGGAATACAGTTCACACTAAGTGTTAAAACTGCTAACCCGGTGAAAGAAGAAATAAGAAAATGCGTTAAAGAGTACTTTACCTACGCATTCTACATGGGTCTATTTTTCCCTTCTAGAAACGTGGTTTCTGAATATAGGGCATTGAATATTAGGAGCACCTGCTGACTTGCTTAGCAAACAACATAATGCAGAGACTGTGGTTAGGCGGGGATAGACGGCGAGAAAATTTAGTGCAGTTATTATGTACCATCTAGAATCAAACACTACTGTGGAGTTTAGCTGTCACGTAGACAATGGTGTAGGTGGACGGGAGAAAAATCTCAGTGGCATAGGGCATAGATCAAGATTTACCTTTCTTAATAAGAGATAGTTGGTTTGCTGAAGTATACAGATGCTCCTACTGCAAAAGGCAAGCATAATTAAGTATGCTTATTTCTGTTATTAAGAAACTAGAAGAAGTGTTGAAGTGGAGCTCTTTCTCTCGCTTTCTCTCCATCACTTTACTTCTATCTCTCTTTGTACCTTCAATTCTCTATATCTATTTCTCAAGATATAATGGAAATAGAAACACATGGAAAGTGATTAGAGAAGTGAGAAAGGAGAAGAGGTACGAATGGCTCAAGTTCGAGCACTAGACAGATTAGGTATAATATTATAGATTTTTCTGTACATGCAGAGAGACCTTTACAAACCCATTCATATGTAACTAAAGCTTCGAAAAAGCACATTCATCTATACCGTAGCAGGCAGTGCATGAACACTGCTAAAGCAGCAGTGGTGCTGTCACTCACCTTCCTCTTTAACCAATACCCTAAGCACAAGGCGCATACAAGACTCACTGATGGCTGCCTACACCTTCCTATATTTGCTAGTATACCAGGATGCTTATCTGTCGCTAAGCCTGTGGCGTGCTGCTTAGCCGTGCTTGCCTGGTCGCCTTAAATAGCTATGTAGCCTTAAGTTTCCCGTCTCGCAACGTTCGCCATCTATCCATTAACGATGGCGAGCAAAACACTTTATACTGACGCTGAGGTCTATGACTTCGTCCTCGTCGGAGCCGGATCAGCTTCTTGCTTAATCGCGTCACGTCTCTCACAACAGCTGCTTGACCACCGGATTCTTGTTCTGGAGGCTGGAGAACACATTCGAAATGACCCTAAAGTACAGATACCCGGTCTAGCCACGAGGCTACTGTCGGATCCCGCTTACGATTGGCGATATTCTTCTGTGCCGGAGCCGGGGTTGAACAACAGGAAGATTGGCCATCCCAGGGGAAAGCTAGTGGGTGGCAGCAGTGCAATTAATAGTCATAGTGTGGTGTTTCCTAATCACGAATGGCATGACCGTGTGGCGGAGGGGCTTCTATCAGATGCGGGGAGAAAAGAGTGGAGCTCAGGGGGCATGAGCGATTGCTACAGAAGATGGCAGGCAGAACAGTCCAGTCCAACAGTAGATGACGATGGGGTGTCTCTAGATCGTGTGCGGACATCATACCCGCGTAAATGGGACCTGCTTCAAACTCGGTGGGTGGAGGCTTTTGAGGAGCTTGGTTGTCCGACGAGGACCACAGGGTTTTCCGAGAGCTCTGCTGGAGCTGTCAATGTCAGAAATGCGATCGATTCTTCAAAAGGCGAACGAAGCCATGCAGGTACAGCGTATCTAGAACCCGCCTTGAAACGTGGCAATGTTACGTTGAAGAATGGAGTAAAGGTCGATAAGATTGCATTTGATGATGCATTGACCGCTGATGGAAAGTTCAATGCCAGAGGTGTCCACTACACATACAAGGAGGAAGAGCATTTCGTCAGTGGCCGAGAAATCATCCTCGGCGCAGGCGTATTTGAGTCACCTCTAATTCTGGAACGATCAGGTATCGGATCCAAGAAGATTCTTGCAAGCACCAACACCCCAGTCTTGTACGAGCTTCCAGGGGTCGGAGAAAACTTGCAAGATCATCTGAACTGCAGCTTGTCATGCGAAACTCAAGACGATATTCCTACTCGTGACGAAATAATGCGAAACCCCGAATTGCAAAAGGCGGCATTGGTGGAGTACGAGAAAAGCCACGCTGGTCGAGTGTCTGAAGGAGCCGCATATAGTTTTGCCTTCACACCATTACAGATGCTGGAAACCCCATCGGAGACACAGGAGCTTACCGAGATAGTGGAACATTGGGTGAAACAAGAAAGCAATCCGAGCCTGAAGACCCAGTATTCTATTATCCAGAAGACGGTGGAAAGTCCCAGGGAAGCAACAGCCACCTCATTCATGTTGCGTACACAACGTCACAAAGACGCTGATTCACTCCCCAAGGGCACGCCATCTGTTGTAGATGGCAACTATATAACCGTTGTCGCAATGCTGGCCCATCCCTTTTCACGTGGAAGCTGTCATATCTCGCCTCGTTCTTCAGATCAGCCCGAGATAAAATTCAACTACCTTTCCCACCCCCTCGATACAGAGATACTGGCTCGCCACTTGCGTCTCATCGAAAGGCTCTTCCAGAAGCCAACCTTTGCTGCTATGACAAAGCCGGACGGAAGACGATTGCCTCGAAGCTTCCCCCATCCAGTTACATCACTCGAAGACGCCAAAGGAATCCTCCCAATCAACTCCGCGACGAACTACCATCCATGCGGTACTTGTTCCATGATGAGAGAAGACCTAGGTGGCGTGGTTGACGAGCGGCTGACTGTATACGGGACGAAGAATGTGAGGATTTGCGATGCAAGTGTCTTGCCAATCATCCCACGGGGGAATATCCTGACCGCTGTCTACGCTTTCGCCGAAAAGGCAGCCGAGATAATTGTCAGGGAGACAAAATCTGATATTCTTTCACGCCAGAGCATATGATGTTAGCTTCGTCATTGTATCGCTACCATGGTAATAGATGGAACTTAGACGACTACCTACTAGGTAGCACAAAGAATGCGATATGACTGGCTTTGATGATTCTCAATATTAGAATTCTAACATACACAAATACTTTCGTGATAATTTTGTCCAATTACTGTTTAATTCACACATATATTGAGATGTTTGGCTACTGATAGTTGGAGCAGTCAGATCAACATGTAGCTTCAGCCGTACCCATTTTCAGCCCCACTCATGGGCTATCAGCTGAATTCAAGAGTACCAAAGTGACTGATAGTGCTACGCGTCACTGGACCGCTATCCTTTTGGTGTCGCCCGCCGCACCTCTCAGCCCGTCTGTCATCCGACTGCGGCTGACGAGCGATAGTGGCTGTGTACATCTTCATGGACCGAAATTAGTTGATTGAAAATCGCTCTGATTTACTAGAACAGTGCAACTGTTCCCAATTGGTTGTCGCTAACATTACTCCCACGCACTTCAGTTGACTCAGTACATAGAAGTGATTTGATTGCTGCGTAAAGTTAATATCAGCTTTAGACGGCTACGTAAACCCAGGGTAACCAAATGAACTTGCAATTAGAGCTACGCCCCTTTTCAGCGATTTTCATGACTGGCTCCCAGTGTGATATTGAGGTTCAGAGTCGTATATGCAGATAACAAGGGGCTACGCACACTTGAGTGGCTTACTGTATGGTTAATCAACGGCTGCTGCCTAACAGCCACAATTTAATTTTTGGCATCATCCTCGAGCTAGACAGCAGCTGGGACGACACTGGCGAAGTAACAGTATACATGAGGCTATTCTTTTAGTGTCTACTCTTGAGGATTTTGAAGCAAATCCCAGAGGACCTACCACATGCAAGTTGCTCAGGGGTTTATGCTATACTATTCCTCCATGCAAGGAACGTTGCAGGCAGACCTAGCTCGAGAAGCGAATGCCCTATGGATCCAAGCTGGGCAACGGTATTGCCTAGCGAAAGTCTTATTATTAGTTAGCCTCGGACCTATGTATATGCCGAAGCATCGGAAACAGACTTCAGCGCAATTCCCCATAGTCATTGTAGCTGAAATATTAACAGCTAGTGCGAAGACCAGCCAATACGATCGCGGGGTGAACCGATGCACTCCTGTCAAATCTCCACAGTCCTGTGGCTGTTCGTATTTTGTACAGCTGCGGGTGTTGGTTTCGGTACAAGGCAGGATGATGTTTCCAACGTTGGTGTCAGCCTGTCACTGTCCCGTTTCTAGTGGGTGCCAGGCGGGAAGAATGCCTTAGGCGATTATGCTATGCTAGACGTGGTCGCTAAGATAGCAGCGACTCGGATTTGGGGCTGAGCCCCTTTCGCCTTTGTTCACTGCTATGTGCACGACTTTGTCGTTGTTCATAATCCTGCCCCTAACATCGTCGACCCTTTAAACTGGCCTTAAGGATTCCAGATGAACATTTATGGGGCCTCAAAAAAGGGTCATTAAGAAACCAATAGCCCAATAGTAGAAGCAGGAGCCCACGACAGCCTTGCTGCGCCGCTTTGGCATATCTGTATACGGACAAGCGTGCGCTAGACGCCCCAAATGGGTGACGCTAGGGCGAGAATGAATGTGGCGCATCCCCTACTATGGGGGGTCTGTTCTTTGGCGAACACCATAAGCGAACACGCATCTTGGTCCCGGCTTCAATTGCTGCGGGGTTGAACAGCTTCCGTCATGCTGGGCGCTACCACGTATCTCGCATTGGACAGGTTTGACAAATACGAACTGTATTTGAAGTCTTCGGATACTATTGTTTGAGAGTAAACGCTGGTGGCTTCGTTGTCTGCTACGAGCTGATGTCAAGTCTACGCACCAACTCAGACTCGCGGCGTACGAGGTACGCACGATTATACGCGATGCCGATCTTGAAGTTCGCGCTATTGACGGCTCAAAGCGCTGAGGCCATAGAGTCTAGGCCTATTGACAGGCAATACTGGTCCGATGAACGACGACGCTTCACCGAACTAGCACTCGGCAGCTAGTACTCGACTCCAACGACCTGGCAGTGTGGAAATACATCCACACAGAAAGGGATATCGTGAACTCCATGACTCGCTTTTGCGACTCATCCCATGCATAACGGAATGCCCGGATGTTCAAGTCGTTGCTTGTAGAATCGAAAACTCACAGAGCTGCTGAGCGAACGACCAAGTGAAGAACTGTCTCCAATGATACAAAAGCAAGTCTCTAAGTAACACGGAGTCTCACAAGGCTGCACAGATGTAGGGGATCAGTTCGAGTTTCAGCCTTGTGCCTAAAAGCTTGCACATCGTATTTGCAACGGCATCAGACTCAAGAGTGCTTAGTGGGTCTCGTTCAATGCGGTGGCGCTGCGGGTGCAGATCGAATCAAGGGCATGATGGAAGCTTTCGCAACCTCAGGGGCAAGTCTCTCAGAGACCGAGCTCTGCTGCTTCAAGTGAGTATATATGTATCACTGTTTCTCTTCATGCATTCTCCATCTTCACGATCCACTCAATCAATCATCATCTTCCGCACTCTTCGAGTGACGACGCCATTCCTTTTTTTCATTATCAACTTACCCCAGTCATTCGTTATCCACGATCTTATTTATACATAATAATTAACTCTACTAACCCATAAAAATGAAGTACGCCATCATCTTCGCTGCCACCGCCGCAGCCCACCAGGCCTATGGCGGATACGGTGCCGATGCTCACTCCAGCGCCCAGCCAAGCACCACCGCAACCCCCATCGGCTACACCACCGTTAATCCCGGCTACGGCAAGCAGCCAGTCACCGTGACCACCCAAAACCAGGCCTACCCGACCTGCGTGTCTGCTGCTTACGGCGACAAGAACTGTGCCAAGTGGGGAGAGGACACCTACGTCTCCACTGTCATCAAGGACTACGACAACAACTACGCTACCGTCACCAACACTGAGCAGCCAGTCGTTGTCTACCACACCAAGACGACCATCACTCACTCTGCTACTGGAACTGGTAGCTATGCTGCTCCCACTGGCGCCGCTTCCAAGAACGGCACTGCTGGCTGCTGGTACGAGCTTTATGAGAAGATTGAGGAGGTTCCATACAAGAACCTTGGCCCCAAGGCTCTTCCCGGATACGGTGGCTCTGGTCTCTACACCAAGGGTGACAAGGAGCAGCCCGTTCACGTCAAGGAGTACAAGGGTGGAAAGTGGACCGAGTACAACCACGTCTACTCCTATGGGGAGCCCAAGCCAGAGGTCAAGGTTTACGAGAAGCCTGGCATCTACGTCGTCCCCAGCAAGGACATGGTAGTTGACCACCCCGTCGACCACCCCGCTGAGGCTACCACTACCGCCAAGGCTGGTGAGACCTGCACCTACGGTGGTCAGTCCGTCACTGCCACCCAGACTGGTTACATCACCGCTCCCTATGCTGGCTACAAGACCAAGGTTGAGGGTGGCAAGACTATGACCGAGACCGTCATCGAGTACACCACCATCTACGCCTCGACCACCGGTACCTACGAGGTCACCAAGCCCACCACCACCGTCTACGACCACGACACCGAGGTCACCTACCCCACTGCCCAGCACTACGATGCCGGTGTCTACCACCAGCCAGCCCAGACTGTCACCATTACCTCTGCTGGCCAGGCGTACACCTGCGAGTATGAGAAGACCAAGGCTACTCCCTCCCCCGTCGTCCCTGGACACGGCAAGACCTACGGTGGAAACAACTACGGCTCTTCCCCAGCCCACAACAGCTCTTCTGTTGCTTACGGCTCTTACCCAGCTGCTTCAACTCCTGCTGCCTACGGCTCCCACCCAGCTGCTTCTTCCCCAGCCGCTTACGGCTCGTACCCAGCTGCCTCATCCCCAGCTGCTTATGGCTCCCACCCAGCTGCCTCATCCCCAGCTGCGTACGGTTCTTACCCAGCTGCCTCATCCCCGGCCGCTTACGGTTCTTACCCAGCTGCTTCCTCCCCGGCCGCTTACGGCTCGTACCCTGCCGCTTCTTCCCCAGCTGCCGTTCACTCCAAGCCAGCCCAATACGGCGGAAACAACTACGGTGGAAACAACTATGGCGCTCACTCCGCCTCTACCCTGAGCACCGTCCCCGTCCAGGCCTACTCCACCCCCGCTGCCCACTACCCCGTTGGCAGCACCTCCTCTGCTCCCGCTGAGCACTACGGATCCAGCGCCAGCTCCACTCCTTGCGAGAGCTCCACCGCCCCTGCTGCCTACAACACCCAGCCTGCTGGCCACCCAGCCTCCTCCTCCCCAGCTGCTTACGGCTCGTACCCTGCTGCCTCTTCCCCGGCCGCTTACCAGCCTGCTCCCGCTGTCTCTTCTCCCGCCGCCGCCTACGGTTCCTACCCGGCCGCCTCCTCCCCAGCTGCCTACCAACCCGCCCCAGCTGTCTCCTCCCCTGCCGCCTACGGCTCGTACCCCGCTGCTTCAAGCCCAGCTGTCCACGGCTCCTACCCAGCCGCTTCCTCCCCAGCTGCTTACCAGCCCGCCCCAGCTGTCTCCACCCCGGTAGCTTACCAGCCCGCTGCCACCCCCACCCCCGCCGCCCACGACAAGACTCCCTCCAACAACCAGTACTCGTCTGGCTCCAACGCCTACGGCAGCAACGAGAAGCCATCTGACAGCTACTCCAACTACGCTTCTTACTAAAAATGTAATGTAGTGTTATTTTTGTTTTTTGTTTTTTCTCCTAGAGTTGAAGATGTTGAAGTTTGGAAAGATGGAGTGAAGGAAGAGGAATAGTGAGGAGGATGAGGTGGAGGAAAGAAGAGAGAAATCTAAAAGAGATAAGAAGAAGAAAAAATGTGAGATCAAGAAAATAATATATTTTTTTCGTCTCGTCTCGTTAAACTTTTTTGTGTGTGTGTGTGTGTGTGTGTGTTCTTCTCCCTGACCCATTCACAAGTGCATACAATTGTGCCATCTCAAAAAGAAAAGAAAAAAGAGAGACGGTGAACACTCTCTTTCTCTCTATACATATATAGCTCACACGATTCATTTCCCCATTCCCCTCAAATACTCCTCCCAACCCCCCTCAGCCAAGACGCCATCCTTGCGCAAAACCTCCTTTTCATTCCCCTCCATCCAAGCCCTCAACCGCTCCCGCACAGCCTTATCCTCGGCTCCTAGAATCCTGACGGCCAGCAACGCCGCATTTGTGGAATTGTTAATCCCGACCGTTGCCACGGGCTCTCCGCGAGGCATCTGCGTCATGCTAACCAGACTGTCCCATCCGTCCATGTGTGTCGCTTTGACGGGAAGTCCGATGACGGGGAGGGTAGTCCACGAAGCGCACATGCCCGGGAGATGGGCTGCGCCGCCGGCAGCGCCGATGATGACTTTTAGCGAAGTCTGAGAGGCGGATTTGGAGAATTCGCGGAGCCAATCGGGGGTGCGGTGCGCGGAGGTGATGCGGGTTGTGAAGGGGATTTGGAGGGTGGTTAGGATTTCGAGGCCTGCGCGAAGGACGGGGAGGTCAGAGTCTGAGCCCATGATTACGGCGACGAGGGGGTCTTCTTTTCCGCTGTTGGTGTTGCTTTTGGGGTCGAGGGTTTTGCCCTTTTGGGTGTCGACAAAGTCGATGAGAGGTTGGATTTCGCGCTCTGCGGCGGCGAGCGTGGGCGCTGTGACGGTGATGTGGCCCATTTTGCGGCCGGGACGGGCGTCGCCTTTGCCGTAGAGATGAATGGAGGCGTTGGGCGAGTCGAGGGCTTTCTTTGCGACCTGCACGTGGGAGTCGGGTGTCTTGCCGCCGAGGATATTGAGCATGATGGCGGGTTCCCGGAGGCGGAGGTTGGATTGGGAGATTGGGAGGTCGAGAATCGCGCGAAGGTGAGCGTCGTATTGTGAGATTGGGCAGGCCTCGATTGTGTAATGACCGGAATTGTGTGGACGAGGTGCAATCTCGTTGATGAGTAGGTGGTCATCCTTGAGGAGGAACATCTCGACACCAAAGACGCCCTTGCCTTCGAAAGCACCGATGGCCTTCTTGGCCAGCTCTTGGGCTTGCTGTGTGATCTTTTCCGATACATTTCGTGGAGGCGCATATGTGAGCTTGCAGATGCTATCCTCATGTACAGTTTCCACGGTAGGAAATGTGAGCACTCCATCCTTGGTCTTGACAATCATGACTGCCAGCTCCATTCTGAAGTCAGCCCATCGCTCCGCATAGAGTGGCCGTTTACCCAGTGCTTCGAACGCCGCACCAACGTCTGCCTCGCTCTTGACCACAAAGTTTCCTTTGCCATCGTAGGCTTCTGTCTTGCTCTTAAGCATGAAGGGATATCCATACGATGACCCTACTTCTTTGAGTCCCTCGATTCCTTTACCCTCAAGATCAACACTGTCAGCCACAGCGACTCCATGCTCTTTCAAATACTGCTTTTGCGCATATTTATCCTTGATTGTTCGTAGTGTCTTCCAACTGGGTTCAACCACCACCTCTCCAGCAACCTCTTCCAGCATGTGCGTGTCCACGTGCTCAATTTCCACGGTGACGACATCGGAAGATTGCGCAAGTTGCTTTACAGCAGCCGCATCCTTGAAAGACCCCTCAATGTGTCCATTGTGCGCCGAGATTTGCTTTGCGGGTGTTGCTGCTGCGTCCAGTACGTTGACTTGAATGTTTAAGCGATTTGCGGCTTCAATGAGCATGCGACCGAGTTGGCCTCCGCCCAATACACCGACTTTGCGATTGTCGACCATTTTGCAGATGTTGATGTACAAGTCACTGCTGTGCTGCAGTGACTAGGTTGGGCCATTACGTGGGTGAGAGTTGCTAGCGCTCTGGTTGGTTGGATGCGGGGGAACCGCAAGAAAATTTGACACAAAGATCCCGATATCAGTGATTGTATTCTGGGTTGCCGAATGCGGACAAGCAGTCCAGTGAAAAGTTGTACAGCACTAAAAAAAACGTTGCAATACATCACTAAATACGTCTGGCTCACAATGAGGTACTGATTTTCATGGGTTGACCATGAGCTCGAAGAGCCCGTTCGTATGCTTTCATTTTATGTTGAGCATCGAGTATCTTTTTATAGGCCTTCAAAGAGCCATTCCTAGTCATAATGCACGCCTCATAAGTGAATTCCCATGACCTTGACCACGCCAAACCAGAGAAACCGAACCACTTTAAGCACACGCTTAGACCTTGAAACCACGAGACCTTCTGCGACCACGGGCACGCTCGAACTTGCGGCCCTTGCTCTCGACGTAGGGCTTCTTGCCGGAGTGGGGACCAAAGCCGAAGTGCTTGAAAGCCTCACGGGCGTTCTTGGGTCCACGGAGGAGGAGGGTGTTGGATCCAGTTGGGGAGCGAGTGGCAACCTCGTCGATGGTGAGGGTCTCACCACCGGCCTTCTCAATGCGCGCGCGAGCGGAGGCAGTGAAGCGGAGAGCCGCAACCGAGAGCTTGGGGAGCTCGAGCATGCGGTTGTCGTCAGTGACGGTACCGACCTGATCCTGAGTTAGCTAGTCATTAGGTGTGTGGTATTCGGAAGCCGTACGATGACAATGGTCTTGCCGTCGTGTCCCTTGGCGTTGGAGACGATCTTGGAGAGGGAGACCGGCTATATCATGTTAGTTGTTGTGTCGATAGGCTTTCGTGCCATTGGTGTCTTACGGGACGGTTGGTCTTGGACATCATGAGGCGTCGCAGGACGGTCTTGTTGAAGGGGGCATCGGTGCGGCCTGTTCGCAGTTAGCACAGATTTTGTGCGCGATTCCAGTCGGAGTACTTACGAGCCAGGAACTTGTACAGACGCACCAACAGCTTGACGTAGGGGTTGGTGGACTTAGGGACCTCTGTACACTCGTCAATCTCTCTCCTCTCTCGGGCTCATGTTGCGTCTAAAAAGACTGCTCTCGCCAGCGCATTTCTGCGCCGACTCGACGGGGGTTTCACATACTGCGGTGCCCGTCTCGAACATGGTGGCGGTCGAGGTCAATTCCCATTTTGACTGATTTTGAGCGTGTTGTGCTGGGGGTTAGTAACGACTGGAGAAGTGAAGTTCTCGCGAACACGAAATTGCGAAATAGGCCAGACTTGGCGTGGTGTGGCCCGTGCGAAGCGAGGACACCCCAACTCCACCTGCACGCGCCTTCAAAGTGCCCTCGCTAGCGCTGGTCAGCATCTCCGCTGGATTTACAAACGGTGGACGCCATTTGGGACCCTTTATTATCATTCTTGGGTGAGGTTGTCTGCATTCCCAGTAGGAGCAATCGTGCCATGTGGATCAATTCAGGGTGCGTTGTGGCGTGGGAAAGGGAGACATGAAGCGAAGCTTGAGAAATCCAACACTTTTTCTTCAATGTCTACCTCGAAGCTGAATGACTGTGTTGAGTTGTTCACTACACTTCAAGTTGCATCTCATCACACAAAAAGAACAGTTTGCTTCACAAGCATTATCATTATGTGGCTAGAAGGTAGTATATACCTTTCGCTCGCAGTCGCTGTGAATGCCTGCAAGATCTATATCCGACAAAAACGCATCACTTCATCGTTTCCCTATTGTGCCCAAAGCTCCATTCTGAACCAACGAGCTTCCCAAAGCAGGCTCACTCTGGCTGAGAGAAACCCACTAGTCTATATGTATCATACCCAATCACCATACACCTCGAGCCTGCTCCAAGTTGACAATAAAAAGATAAGAAAAGAAGAAGAAGAAGGCGCGACATGGTAGTAGAGTGCGTCGACAGGCGTGCTTAAGACTTCTGATAGCGTGCACTGGTTATTTGAAAAGGCGTTTTATACAGCCTTGTCGCCAATGAGCTTGCCGATACCGTTGTAGACCTGGTTGGTCGACTCGGGGGCATAGCGGGGTCCAAGGGAGCCGAAAATGAAGAACATGGAGATGATGACAGCGGAGAAAACCATGAGCTTGCGGAGAACAGGCCTGCTGTGGCCGAGCTCTTGCCACTTCATGCTACCCTGGCCGAGGTACTCCTTGAGCTTCTCACCACCAAGCTTGTAGTAGACGAGACCACCGAGCGCAATGCTGTAACCAAAAGCCTGGAGGAGACTGACGGGGTCCTTGAAGAGGAACATGGACGCGAAGACGAGGAGAATGTCCTTGAGTACACCGGACAGGGTGAGGACGAGCGACGAGGTCTTGCCAATCTGGAAACTTGTGAGCAGGTGTTTTGCGCAGGTGAGAACAATGAACATACCAGGAAGACGACTGAGACGTTGAGCAAGAATGCAACAGAGGCGTTGGCCAACAGGGTGAAGAGACCGACGCGGTCGATGTCAGCCATGGTCATCGAAGGGAGCTCAGTGAAGAGCAAGATGGCACCGTTGATAACAGCGCAGGCAGGGGCGTAGTAGTAGAGGGAGACGAGGGGATCCATCTTGAAATCGGCGCCGCTGAGCAGACGCTGGACCATGACCAAGCGGATAGCCTCGAAAGCGATACCAGCAGCCTGGAACAGGAAACCAGTCATGACAAACTTGATCTCACCCATCGAGGCAACAACGACACCAATGACAATGAAAGACACATTTCCAAGCGTCTTCAGATTGACAGGCGAAACACCGAGACCCCAGGTGGTAAGCAAGACAGCGACGGGCATAGTAGCCTTGTTAAGTCAGCATCCACGTGTTTACTCTGGGAATCTTGTCGACATACCTTGAGCATCTGAATAAAGGCCACACTGAGGTACAGGTAGGCCTGGTTACCGCAGATCAAACTCATGCTGAAGAAGATACCGATGGGGACAATAGCTCGCAGATAGACACGGCCGTTCATGGGCACCTTCTTTCTTGAGTCGAGGATGGTGGTGAAGCGGGCGAGGATTTGCGTCATGATGGTCGCAAAGACCAGATGCCATGTTGTGAGGAAGATTGGAAAGTCTGTTTGGGGTCGCTGTCAGTATGCGCTTGTGGGGGACAGGGGCGGGAGGTAGTAGACGTACGGAACTTGGCCGTGTCGAGGATGTACTTGTTGAAGACGATTGTGCTGGAGCTGAGCGTGATCCATGTGCTGGGTATCGATTAGCGTGCGTTGCGGAGAGGGCAGAGGTATGTGAGGCATACGCAATGTAGACGGCGGGATGGAAGGTGGGCGGCTCAGGTGCGGACTTTTGCGCATCGGGGTTGACGGTGGGCAGGACTGGCAGAGCAGTGTCGCGGGAAGCCTCGACTGAGGACCTCACCTTCTCGTCTTGAGACATGGTTTGGGGTTGGTAGTTAACGAGGGACTGTGGAGAGGCAGAAGGTGAGAGAGAGAGGGGGGGGGAGAAGGAGAGGGAGTTGTCGGTGGCTGAGGTCGAAGAGATGCGGCGATCGGGGGTGGGAGCAGAGTTGTGGTTGAGGTTACAATGATGGGCGGGCTAGCGCCGCTGACTGATGAGGGTCTTGCGCGTCAAGGGTAGAGTGAAACGGTGCAACACGAACGTGGCACAGGGTACAAGTCTTGGACGAGGGCTCTGCGCACTTGGAGGCAGCAAAGGAGATGAGGAGCGACAGAATTGTTGGGAGGGAGCGTAAATGTGATGGTAATGCGTTAGGCGCTAGTGAAGGGAGGGGCGGAGCGGAAATTCAGCCAGAGCAGCTTGTAGAACGGGGGCGCACAGGGGGTGCCGTCTGTGTCTGCGTCTGCGTCTGCCTCTACCCTACTGGGCAACGGTCGACTATTGTACTCGCGCCGATAGCAGGCAGCATGACGATTCCCAATCCCCGCCGCGGCTCTGATGGCGGCGATGGCGACGTGAAACGGATCTGCTGTGGAGCCGGGCATTGGACGCGCAATCGGCTTGCTTTGCGAGCCTTGGTTCTGGCGGCGAAATTTTGAGCCGCGCTGCGATATGCTGTGTGGGCGTGGATGAAGGCGTACGTAAGTACGCGTACCGTGGCCGCCCTGCAGAGCCGCTTTACATTGCAGGGCACAGCAGACAAGGTCCATGACGCGCGACATGGCAAAAGGGCAGGCCTAGCGACACACACCCACAAGTGCAAGTGGCAAGCCATGCAATCACAATAGGGGCATGCATGTTGTCGTTGAGCAATCCGTATGCGTACACGCTTGATTACACCGTCGCACTAGCACGACACGCAGCCCGTGGCCCGTGGGCCGTGGATCTGAAGCTGTAGTCTCCAAGAGATAGACGCGCTTGCCCGCCTAGTCGACTGAGGAGAGAATGTGGTACGGTACACACACATGCACATGCCGTCAGTGTACATGCTACATGTCTAAGTACAGTACCTACTTACTACATAGCATTACGCCCGTCTGGCCATGCCTGGTTCCCACGGGAGCGTGCATCGGGGGAGCACAGTACACCACAGTACAGCACACCACACCATCACCCGCTGCCGCTGCCGTATACTACTTACTTGCTTACTTACCCGTCTCGATACCCGACACTGTTGGTCGGTGGTGCACACGCGCTATGCGAGTAGCATCCAAGAGGCGAGGCAGGTGTTGCACAAAGTTGGAACCAATCAATGTGGCCACGAGCAGCCACGGTTGCTGCACCGACGGGGCCCCCATGGCGGCCTGCCCCTTTTCTGCCGTCGAGCCTCTCTTGTGCTTGGACATGCAGAGGCTCTCCAGGCGGTCGCCAGCCCAGTCCCTCGCCGCCTGGCCCCCCACTAACTACCTACCCTGGGCCCACTTATAACAGTATCCTCCTTGGCGTCCCTAGTTCCTCTCCAGCTTCTCTATATTCCTTCCGCCCACGCCCCAAGTGTTCCCAGGCCACTGCTCCTCGTAGCTTCTCACCTATACATGCTCAACCTCGCTCGCCAGACACTAAAGCGAGTTCCAAGTTTCCAAGAAATCCTCCAGGCCACCATGGGATCCGCAAAGGAAGAAATGTACGTTCACCGCCCAACCCACCTTGCTCTTTTCCTCTCTCCTCCCCTCCCCTCCCCTGCCCTCTGCCTCGCTCAAACTGACCATGGCAAAGCTCCGTTGACGTGCTCGTCATCGGCGCTGGCCCTACCGGTCTAGGTGCCGCAAAGCGTCTCAACCAAATTGTAAGTGTACCCCAGTGTCCAACACAGCTTTGCCCTTGTGCTAACAACCCCAGGATGGCCCTTCATGGCTGATTGTCGACGCCAACGAGACACCTGGTGGTTTGGCCTCTACAGACACCACTCCAGAGGGCTTCGTAAGTATCCCGCCCGCCAATTGGCTGCTCCTTCCTAACCACGCTCCAGCTCTACGATGTTGGTGGCCATGTCATCTTCTCCCACTACAAGTACTTTGACGACTGCATCGACGAGGCTCTGCCCAAGGAAGATGACTGGTTCACCCACCAGCGCATCTCCTACGTCCGCTGCAAGGGCCAATGGGTCCCCTACCCATTCCAGAACAACCTGTCCATGTTGGGCAAGGACGACCAGGCAAAGTGCATGGACGGTCTGATTGATGCCGCCCTCGAGTCTCGCGTGGCAAACACCAAGCCAAAGAACTTTGACGAGTGGATCGTCAGGCAGATGGGTGTCGGTATTGCCGACCTCTTCATGAGGCCATACAACTTCAAGGTCTGGGCTGTGCCCACCACCAAGATGCAGTGCGAGTGGCTTGGCGAGCGTGTCGCTGCACCCAATGTCAAGGGTGTCATGTACAACATCATCCACGGCAAGACTGCTGGAAACTGGGGCCCCAACGCCACCTTCCGCTTCCCCGCACGAGACGGTACCGGTGGTATCTGGATCGCCGTCGCCAAGACACTGCCAGAGTCCAAGACACGATACGGCGAGAACAGCAAGGTGACCAAGGTTGACGCCGATGGACACAAGGTACACCTCAAGGACGGCACCGTCGTCAACTACAAGAAGCTCATCAACACCATGGCTGTTGACTCCCTGGTCGAGACCATGGGCGACAAGGAGCTCATTGACCTCAGCAAGGGCCTCTACTACTCCACCACCCACGTCATTGGTGTTGGCCTTCGTGGCGAGCGCCCAGAGCGCATCGGCGACAAGTGCTGGCTGTACTTCCCCGAGGACGACTGCCCCTTCTACCGTGCCACCATCTTCTCCAACTACTCGCCCTACAACCAGCCGCAAAAGGATGTCAAGCTCGCAACCCAGCAGCTCGCTAATGGCTCCAAGCCCAGCTCCACCGAGCCCAAGGAGGGCCCGTACTGGTCCATCATGTTGGAAGTTGCCGAGTCTGGCATGAAGCCCGTCGACCGAGAGAACCTGCTCAAGGACTGCATTCAGGGTCTCATCAACACCGAGATGATCAAGTCCGACGACGAGATTGTCTCCACCTACCACCGCGCCTTTGACCACGGATACCCCACTCCTTCGCTTGAGCGTGAAGGCGTCCTCACCAAGCTTCTCCCTGCCCTCCAGGCCAAGGACATCTTGTCGCGTGGCCGCTTCGGCTCATGGCGCTACGAGGTTGGTAACCAGGACCACTCATTCATGTTGGGTGTCGAGGCTGTAGACCACGTTGTCAACGGAGCTGTTGAGCTTACTCTCAACTACCCCGACTTTGTCAACGGTCGCAAGAACGAGGAGCGTCGTCTTGTGGACGGTGCCCAAATCTTCACCAAGCCTTCTCTTGCGCTGAGGAACAAGGGTGTTGACTAGACGCATACACAAGGAATGCTGAGCATGTTATGGATTTTGAGAGATGTTTACAGGATACCACGCTTATTTACGAAAGGGACGGCATGGAATGGGGAGTCGGCGCATGTGTGCATGTTTGGACTCTAGGTAGATAGATAGTTGTTGCATCTGCACAGCATCTAGTCGATGTTGGCAGTGATAAAGGATAGACATTACCTTTTTGCCAAGTTTGTGTGTTTCTCTTGGATGCGATGTCTTCTGTGATTGTTCTTGTCAATGCTTTCTCTACTAGCTTCGTACCCCAGCAAGCCCGTTCCTGCATTCACCTATCCATTCATGCGCGCTCCGTTTCCTCGATCGACAACATCCCTCTCCACTTAATTTAACCCCCACTCACCCTTATCCCTCCTTCCCCCCC